GTGTTATTTATTTTTTATGTATTGCTTACAGGACCAGACACTTTCTAAGTGCATAATAAATATGAACTCAGTAATGCTCACAGTGATCTAGTGAGCTGTGCATTACTAGTAGCTCCACATTACAGATGAAATCAGTCCAGGGGAAGGCTGAGCAACCTGCCACAGCCAGCAAGTGGAAGACCTGGGTTTGCACCTCCAAGGGATAACTTCAGAGTCTGTGGTTCAAACACCAGCCTGCGCTGCCTCTCAGTGCCAGTGAGTATTGCTCACAACACCAAAATTATTAACTAAAAAGCGCCAAATGCAACTGAGGTCTGATGAAAAATGAAAGCTATGACGTGGATGATATAGAGCTGTATGTACTGACACGGGACAAAGTCTGTTACCTGTTATTAAGTGAAAAACATTGATCGGCACATTTTACTTGTTAAGATGATTTACCCACTGCCTCCCCATCCCAAATACACACACATTACAAAGCTTATAATCATTTTCATCAAATCGTCAACCTTGGTCCTTCTCCTGACATTGATGGCTGGTTGAGCATTAGCTTCTTAGTGGCAGGAGGTGCAAGGTACACAGCCGGGAGCTTTGGAGGTGATACCTAACATGCTCCAGACTGTTGACCCCCTGAGAATTTACTTATATGGCTCATCACTGACTCTTTGTAAGGTTTATCTCCCACCACCTGGAGTGCCTGTGACGTAAGGCATTCCAAATACTCAACCTTTCTTACTCATCAGGTCCAATAAACATACTGTCATGGCGTGGTAGACAAGGGTAATGTACTGCAGTGTCCAGACAGGCTACACTGTAACAGGGAGCAGGAGAATTCACCTTGCCCTGGGGAAAGACCATAAACGTATACTGTTGTCTAATTCATGTGAATGAGAACTGCTTCTTCTACCTCCTGCTGGATATTTTTAAATTATATTTTCCACATTAATAATTGCATGCCACTTGCCAGAGGCTGTGCTAGCCTGCTCTAATAAAGACACTACACCTGGCACAAAAACTGCAATTGGGTTACTGCTTGGCTAAGTTTCCAGAAGTCATCTACTAGTGTGAACCTCCTAGCTTTCACAGAGAGCAGGCTGCTGAGTTAAAAGGAGGCGCAATGAGGATATCAACCCTGCCTCCTTCAAGTCTT